CGGTCCCTGTGCTTTGCTGAGCTTGCTCTAAGTAGGTGCTTTAGACCACTGAGCCATCTCGCCAGCGCTAGCTGTTGGCTTTGAGACAGGGTCTTCCTGAGTAGCTGAGGCTGGCCTCTAACCCCTGATCCTCTGACCAGCCCCGAGTGCTGGCATTGCACATTGCTTGGCCATGCCCGGCTCTCCTCATGGTTTTCATCACGTTTCCTCAGTGACTAGCAGTGGGCGTTGTTCGCGTGCCCTTTGTCAGCTGACTGAATCCATCAGGACCCTTGATTCATTTACACATAGGGTAAATTTTTTTTTTTGCAGAACCGGGGATTGAACTCAGGCCCTTGTGCTTGCCAGGGAAGTGCTTGTTCCGCTGAGCCGTCTCCCGGCCCCTACGTAAATTATTGTGGCTCTGTGGGTGGTTCCTTATATAATGCTGATCTGGTGCCTTACAGAAGCAGATTTGGAGCACTTTCTCCCAGACAGGGGGTGTAGGTGCTTTGTTCCCTTGATATTGTCTGTGATGCACAGACGTTTTCATTTTGTTGAAATGCATTTGATCTGTGTTTTCTTTGTTGTGTATACTTTTAGGGTCATATTCAGAATTCCTTTGCCAAATACAAGGTCATGGTGACTTATTCCTATGCTTTTTTATTTCCAGAATGGGGAAATTAAAATTGAACCCAGGGTCTTTATACTGAGTTACGTGCTCAGCTCCTTTTTAAATTTTTGAGATAGGGTTGCTCAAAGTCATTAACTTTCTGGGGCTGGGCTTGAATTTTCTGCCTCAACCCCCCAGAGTGCTAGGATTACAGGTGTGCATCTGCTTTCTTTTAAGAGTTTATGGTTTTAGCATTTACATGTACGTCTTTGACTCATTTTTACATGTGACATGCAGTAAGTGTCCGCTTTTGTTTTTTTGCATGAAAAGAAGTTATTTGTTGAAGAGACTGTTTCTTCCCATTGAACTGAAAGAGAATTTTGGCATCCTTGTCAAAAATGTCTTTCTTTTTTTTGCAGTACTGGAAATTGAACTCATAGGCACACTGCCGTTGAACTATATACCTAACCCTTTGAAAAAATTTTTTTAATTTCGAGACAGGATCTCACTAAATGACTAACCTGGCCTTAAACTTGCAATCCTCCTGGATCAACCCCTATAAGTGCAAGGATTGCAGGATGTACACCATTGTTCGTAACAAAAATGTACATTTTTTAAGCTGAGTCTTTGAAACTTAATGTGTATTTTATATTTACAGAAATCTCTATTTGTTTTTTGGTTTTTTTAGATTATTTCTTTTTCCTTTTCCTTTTCCTTTTCCTTTTCCTTTCTTTTTTTTTTTTTTTTTTTTTGGAACTGGGGATTGAACTCAGGCCCTTGCGCTTGCCAGGCAAACACTTATTCCACTGAGCCATCTCCCCGGCCCCTCTACTTTTTTTTTTAAATTTTATCTATTTATATGTGTGTGTGTGTGTGTGTGTGTGTGTGTGTGGCCAGCTCAGCCCACCAGGGGGCGGGGCTGGCTGGCATGTGGTGCTGGGGATTGAACTGCTGTCCCTGTGCTTTGCTAAGCTTGTTCTAAGTAGGTGCTTTAGACCACTGAGCCATCTCACCAGCCCCTCTCTATTTGTTTTTGACTTTTTGAGACAAAGTCTTGCTTCAGGGCCGGGGAGATAGCTCAGTCGAATAAGTGCTTGCCTGGCAAGCTCCAGGGCCTGAGTTCAATCCCTGGTTCTGCCAAAACAAAAAAACCCCCAAAAAAACAACAACAAAAAAAAAACCCCAAAACAACAACAACAACAAAAAACCCCCAAAGTTTTGCTTCATTTGTTAGGCTAGCCTTGTGTAGCCAGGCTGGCCTTAAACTTGTGGTAATCTTTTTGCCTCAGCCTAGGATTAGACCTGCTAGGATTAGACTACCACACACGCAGCTTAAAATTTCAATTTGGAAAGTAAATTTTTATTACAAAAGGTAATAAAAACTAATTGCAGAGATATTTGACCCTGTAACATGGAGCTGTGTGGGTCAGTGTGGTCCAGACCCAGTAGGGGCCCCAGCTGGGGCTGAGGGTGGGTTTGACTCTGGTGTAATTTAGTCCAGTTTGGAGCAGCTGTGTGGAGCAGCTGTGTTTTTGGATGGTGCACGGTGCAGGCTCCAGCGGTGCAGCAGCAGTGTTGGGCTGACTGAAGGCCTCCCGGCCATGGCCGCAGGGGGCTCCTCTCCTCCTTCCCTGGTGGCGCTCAACCTTCTCTGCCCGGTGATGCCTCTTTCTTGTCCGAGTCATGCTAACACATGACTCTGGGATTGGCTTTCGCTTCCTGTGGCCTGTGGGGTCTCCAGTTGGCTCTGCAGCGGGGCCTGTGTGAGTATGTGTTCCATGGTGCAGGGGTGGCCTGTGGCATCAAGTGCCTGTGAATCAGCGTGCCCCACTGGAGAGTACTCGAACTTGGACACCCCACATTGGGCCCTGTGGGACTTGGCAGGCTGCTTGTTCTAGAGCTTAGATCCTGTTACCACGCGTAGCTTCCGGTTAGAAGGAGGATAGACTTGCTGGTGGCGGGTGGCCATAGGTGTGACGGCTGCTGAGGAGTGGGGCCCATGACCTCGGTGATGCTGGAGCAGGGATGGTGAGAGCTGGCCGTGCTGGGGTGTGTGCTGGAAGAGGAGCTGGGCGGTCAGGTTTGGGGCTGTCACATAGGCCAAGGTTTGGGGCACGCCTGAGACCAGGAGACAGTGCCAGGAAGAGGCAACAGGTGCGGGATTTCCCTTGTGAATTGGGGCCTGTGCCTGTGCCTGTGCCTAGGCCTGCTTTGCTACTGGGCTGTGGACTGGGTGCTCACCTCCTAGGACAGGTGGTGGCAGGGATAGGAGGGGTTGCTGTGGTGTGCTCGTGCGACGTAGTGCTTGAGGGGTGTGAGTGCAGGGCCAGGGCCAGTGCCGTGGCTTTTGGATGGCGAGCACAGCATGGTGTGAAGAGGCTTTCTGGCCGAGGCCTGATGGCAGCTGAAGGCCGTGTGGCTGGGCTCAGAGCAGAGCAGCCATGCTTCAGGTCAGTGCAGCACCCCCAGCTCTGGGGTAGAGAGGGGCAGGGGTGGAAGAAGGCCCAGAGAAGCAGGGAGAACTGCCAGTCAGCGAAGGCTACTGGTGTCGGGCCTGGGGAGGATGGTCATGAGCTAATGTCAGTGGAGGGGAGAGAAGAGGTGTGGTGAACTGGAGCAGGTACAGGAGGTGCACCTGCTCTGTCCTGAGTGGCCAGGTCTCTGCTGTGCCCAGCTGTATAGGCACAGGCTCAGACTAGCTCAGACCAAGCCTTTGGTCTCAGCACCTCTGCAGTGGCTCCCAGGGCAGGTGCGGAAGCCGCCCCAGGGTGAGTCAGCCAGTGTGCAGCTCCTGCCCTTCTGCAGCCCAGGTGTCGGGTTCCGGTGCACATTGAGCTGCTCTCCAGCCAGGACCCACACCCTGCAGTGAGGTGAGAAGTAGCTGCTGGAATGTGTTTGGCTGTGCAGTGGGGTCCTCCATGTGTGTACTCTGATGTGGTCACCCCAGGCCAGGTCCAGGCCTGTGACCTGCTTGAATCACCTGTGGGAGTCATTTGAATAGCCAAAAAGGCCCGGTCCTTGCCAGGGTCTTTCAGGTGGGTGGATTGGGAGTGCTGTTCTGCTGTGTGCTAGGGACACAGCCCTGGGAAGGTGGCTGTGAGCACAGCGCCTGTGGTCCTGGTGCTTGTTCTAGGGATCGGTTGGGCTGGGTCGGAGGCCTGTGGGCCCACAGAGGGGGAGAGAGTGCTGGAGTCAGGACTGGACATTTCTAGGCACAGGAGAGGCTGGCAGCTACCAACTTGCCCTCTGGCACAGTCTCCCTGTGGGCCAGTGCCAGCCAGGATCTAGTACTGTGCAGACTGCTTTCTTCTCTGTCCATCTGAACTTGAAGGTCACCGTGCTTGTGTCCACGCCAGTCCCTGTGTGGTCAGGACTTGTTCCACACGGCCGTCCTAGCGCAAGTGGGGCCATTGCTTAGGACAGGCTGGCTGCCTGTGCAGCATGTCTACCGTGTGTCTCTGGGTCGTGAACCCAGCTTGTATCCCTCCTGGGAAGCATGAGGCTTGGTAGGGCAGAGCTGTAGCTCAGGGAAAGCCCGCGGCCTTGACCGGTGTGCCTTCCTGCCAGCTCTCGAAGCTGCCTCCATGTGCTGATCTTGCCTTCCTGCGGAAGGGCCCCACCGTTAAGACCCCTTCCAGGGCTGGGCACCCTTGCAGCCTGGCTTGGGGCATGGTTCCTGGGTCCTGGCTTGTACCTGCATTGCACAGTGACAAGATGCCAGGTGTGAAGGCTGGTGTGGCCTCGGCTGGCTGGAGGAGGCCAGAGGAGTGAAGGCAGAGCATGTGCGACTTTGAGGAGCAGCATGCACTCAATGGTCTTGTTAGGTTTTAAAAAATCTCTACTAAGCAGTACGTACCTGATGGCTGGGGAGATAGCTGGTGGTCTAAGCACCTCCCTGGCAAGTGCAAGGACTCAAGTTCAGTCCCCAGTACCATGTGCTGTGCCAGCCCCAGAGTCCCAGGCACTCCGTGCTGGCCCTGAAGCTGGGTATGGTGGTGCATGCCTATAATCCCAGTACGGAGGTGGCTGAGACAGGAGGATCACTACCAGTCTGAACTGCGTAGCAAGTCCCTGTATCAAATTTAAAAAAAAGAAATACGTACGAGAGCCCAGTGCTCTTCATTTTATCACCAAAGAATGTGTTAGGAGAAGTATAATATCTTACAGTGATAGGAAATGTGGAGCTCTTTCTCCTCTGTGAATTTGCATGTGTGTGTTGCAGCCCTGTAACTTCTCTTATCACTTTCAGTGTTCTGCCAAGGGACTGACCAGGAGTGGCCACTTACTCCCTTTGGAGATCAGTGGTAAGTGTCCAGGAAGCCAGAGCCTTCTCAGGGCTGCAGAGGAACTAGGTGGGAGTGGCCAAGGCCAGGAGGGATCCTGGGACTGCGCACAAGCTTGGCCTGCGTGTTGTCTTCCGCATCACTGCCATTGTCTTCCCCACCGAAGGGCCAGGGTCAGGAGTGGTCTGGGCAGGACGGGTCAGGGTCAGGCCTAGGTGGCCTCGTCTTTCTCTGGTGGTGGTGATGTACCTGGGCTGGGGTACCTCTGGAAGCATGCAAGCCCACCCTGTAACATCCCTTGACCACAGAGGAGAAAGGTTGGTTACAACACTTTGTGCCCCAGGCAGGGCGGCCACAGCCATGGGAAATGTGTGCAAGGAGCGCCTCCTTGTTGCCTGTGTGGGGGCAAGGGGCCACATTCCTTGTACTCCAAAATCCCCAGTCCTGTCCAGCCAAGTTAGGGTTGGGTCACTGTGGCTCTGACAGGCTGGTGTCCATTAGCAACTTTTGTGGAGGTGGCATGAGAGGAGACTCCTGGGCTGCTAAAGGGCAGGTATTGTCGCATGGGTGGAGACAGGAAGTGTGAGTGCCAGCCAGCCAGTCCCCTCCCACTCCCTGGCCTCCTGGGGTCTAGTCTTTGCATGCACCAGATAGCCTCACCCAGGCTCAGAGCCCCTGAGTACTGCCACACTCCTCACTTCCTGCCTTCTACCCCCGATCCATCCTGCCTCCCTGGGAAACCCTGGAGTGTGCCTTTTCCCAGGGATGGACCTGCTTTTCTTTTCTACCTCCCCCATGGCCTCTGCTTCATGTCCCTAGCTAGACAGTAACTGCAGAAGCATGGGGGCTGCTGACTTTCTGCTCAGAGCGTGGCTGGGAACCCTCAGGGCATCCAGGCTCACGGCCTAGCTGCTTCTACGTGAGGAGACTCACACTGCTGAGCTTTCATTTGAGCTGTCCAGGTTGCAGTGCCCACAACGGCTTGGCAGAAGGAGTGGCGGCTAGGGCTGTGTGGGCTCTGGGCACCAGGCAGGGTCTGAGCACAGGCGGGTGTGGGGGAACCACGGCCCTGGGCTGCTGAGGCTGGGAGTGCTACTGGGGCTTGACGCCTCCTGAAGGAGGCCTCTTCTGGGCTGCTCATGTGATACTGTCATGCGCACATCGTCTCGGGGACCCCCAGCTGCCCGCAGCCATTGCCACCCTGCGTCACAGTCGAGGTCAAGTGCAGGCTTGAGGTGCTGAGGGCAGGCAGGTGGGCATCCAGGCCATGCCTGTGCCTCACTGCTGTGGCATGGTGCAGGTGTCCACAAGAGGAGACATGGGGCCTGTCCTGCTGTGACTATCAGCAGCACTCCCAGGATCCTAGTGGTGAGGGCACACCCCTCAGACTGGTGGCAACAGAGGAGAGGTATTTTGGTGACACAGGGAGACAGCAAAATGTGAGTGAGGGCAGAGTGTGGCCGGTGTTTCCTGGAGCCTCTTGGGATGCCCCTGGCCTGACTCCCAAGCAGAGCCTGCCTTTGGGAGGTGGAGCGGGCTCCAGCCCACTGCCGGCCGCAGTGGCTCACTGACTGCCATGCCTGTGCCTGTGCAGGGTCTGGGGAGCCGGGCCAGTCGGCCTGTGCCTGGGGTGGGCCGAAGTGGCCTCCCTTCACCTGGCTTTCTTCCTGCTTGCCCTTTTGTCTCCTCAGTGGACAGGAGCCGCTGGAAGGCCTTCCAAGGAGCATGGCCTGCTGGAAGGCAGGCAGCTGCAGGCCCTGCTCACCCCTTCCTGTTGGCTCCCTGTGGTGCTGATCAGGCCCAGGGTCTCCAGTGGCGGTCAGAGTCCCCACGCCTATGCACTGGCCTGGGTGTGGGCAGTGCTGTGGACCTCCAGGGGAACACGGGGCCACCCACGGCTCCGCCAACCAAGCGGCACTGCCGGTCCCTGTCTGAGCCAGAAGAGCTGGCCCGTTGCCGGTCACCATGGCGTCCTGGTGGCTCCAAGGTCTGGACTCCGATCTCCAAGAGACGATGCAACAGTGGTGGGAGTGCCACACTGCAGCGCTGTAGTGGCCTTGGGGGTGCAGCCCTGCCCAGGAGCCCTATGTCGCCTGCTGGCCCCACATCACCCCTGGCACCCCGACCAGCCTCGGCCAGCAGTGGCTTTGTGGACAGCAGTGAGGGCAGTATGGGCTCGGGCCCTTCCTGGTATCCCACAGGGCCCTGCCCACTATCCTCGAGGCGCCGCCTGTCCCTCTCACAGGACCACCTTGTGGATGCTGGTGCCTGCCTACCTTCAGCCAGCAGCACCCCCACGTCCACACCTGAGCTTGGCCGGCGCCATGGCCTGCTGCGGTGCCGGTCACAGCCCTGTGTGCTGGGCAGGAGGAGGAGCCGTCGCAAGCGAAGGCGGGAGGAAGACACCCGGTGGACACGCCCATCCTTGGACTTTCTCAAGATGACTCGGGTGAGGCTTCACTGGTTTCTGGGTGTGGGTAGAGCTCATGGTAGTAGCTGGCAGGGGGCAGGGCAGCTTCTGTGAAGCCAATCTCATTCCCTACAAGGTGGGGAGTCCCACCTGCCCCAGCTTTTGAGCCCCCAGGGTCAAGCCCTGCTCCTGGCCCCAGCCCTGGCAAGGCCCAAGAAGTAGTGTATGGATTCTGCTGAGGAATGGGGCTGCCTCCTGGAGAAGCTAACCTTGAGGATCCCTCATTGTCTTCCTGGGATGATGGGAGACACCAGCGGGAGCCCCGCCAAGGTCGAGTCTGGCCAAGCTGCGCTCAGTCCAGGGAGTGTAGTAGGGAGTCCCCTCAGGATGTCCCTGCCCCTCTTGGGAGCAGTTCCTTTTGAGGGAGCTTATGAGTTGTCTGGAGGGAAGCTGGCACTGTGGAGGTCCTGGCATCTGTGCCTCTCCATCTGTCCTTCATGAGCTCTCAGGAGTCTCAGAGGAGAGGAGGGGAGTGATGGCTGGGGCTTCTGGTGGGCTTGTCTACTTGAGTATGTTTGGGCTGGGTGGGGAAGCAGGGTGGAGCAGAGAGAGCCTGAGCAGCCCAGGCTGAGGTAGAGCAGGGCTGTGCCTGCCTCCCTTCAGTTGCCTCAGCAGCTTGGGTCTCAGGCCTCAGGCCTGAGCTCTTCTTAGCCTTGTGGGGCATGGTGGGGTTGGGTGTTATGCCTGCCCTGGGGGCTGATGCTGGAGTGCTGTTGAGCCCTGAGTCAGGGCTGGCACAGGGCTGCTGGAACCAGGTGTGGGCACAGGCCTTACTGAGCACCAGTTCTATGGGAGGTGGTGGGCCTGGTGGAGGGCGCTTGGGCCATGGTGAGGTTATGGTGGGCTGTTCTTCTGGATGACCAATCTCTGGAGGATTGTTCCCAATGGACACTAGGTGGACGTGCTGTGAGGCTCCAACTAGGGTCAGGAAGGAAGCCCCAGCAGTGACACAGGGAGCTGCCCTCTGTTGGCAGGACAGAGCTGAGGGAGAGGGGCTTCCTGGAGGGGAGCTGGGGACATGCTGATGATAGGGACAGCGTACTCTGGACTGTTGGGGAGAAAGAAGCATGGTTAGGATGGTTGTGACTGGGTCAGGATGGGCAGGGATGACCAACAGTGAGCTATGTCAGGGCAAGGGCTCGTGTGCTCCAGAGCGTGGTATGCTGTTCCCTGCTGGGGACAGGCTGCTGTGGAGCTTGGGGACACTTGGGCAGCTATCAGCCTCCCGAGTATGCTTTGCGAACTTGGAGTTTCTACCTGGAGGCCTAGTGCTGTGACTCCCAGAGTCCAGAGGGCTTGGCCACGGACACCTCTGAGTTCCCCTAGCTCCACGGGAGCCCCTGGATTGTGATCAGCTCTGCTGCCTGGGTCTCTGCCCACTCCTCTCCCTCTCCTTCCCAGTCACCTGCCCAGGCTCTGCTCACCTCCACCTGACACCATGCACCTCCATTTCTTTTCCTCTGAGCACATCAGCCTTCATTTAATCCTGATGCCAATGCAGGAAGACTGAAATGGAGACACACGGTCATCAGTAGTCATGGCCTACCGTGTGACAGCATTGGCCACATCGTCCTGTTGGTGAGGGATGCTGGAGGCTTGACACCACCTGGGGCTGTAGTCCTGCGGTCCTGGGTGCTCATGGTGCTGCTGGACTGCTTGCCATGTGCCTTTTCTGGGGGATTGCATGGGTTCCACTTTCCTCAGAGTGAGTGACGCTCCAGGAGGAGCGTCAGAGGGGCCATGTCACTTGTGTGACCTAGTCCCCGTGCGCAGCAGGAGTGTTCAGGCCAGACTCGGAAGCCTCTTCTGTGCGGCACTGCCTCTGAGGAGCTGGCTGTCTGCGTGGGTGCTGCCCACTGTGCCAAGGCCACGGGGGTGGGGTCGCTCGTGCACCTACTGCATGCATCTCATAGCAATTTCCCCATTTGCACATTGCTAGATTTTGGTATTTTAAGATAGCCTCATCAAAAGTGTGCTGCTTGTCAGAGTTAAACTGTGTTTTCTGCTTAACAGAGACATGTATGTGAGCCTTGTGTTTTTTAATTTTTTTTTTTATTTTAGGGAAGGGTCTACAGGGTGTTCAGGGTCTTACTACTAGATCAGACTTGTAGTGATCCGCCTGTTTACAGCCTCTCAAGAGCTGAGATTACAGGCACACACCATCATGCCCAGTCTCAGTTGCTGTCTCAGTTTGTCCCAAGGGTGGGGCCAGCACGGCAGGCCTGGGGAATCAAACCCCCAGCCCCTGTGCCTGCTTGCAGGCGCTTTAATCCGCTGAGCTCTGTGGCCAGCCCCCAGCCTTGTATTTCTGAGAAACAGTGTACTTTCTCAGCTAGAATAGGCACAGCGGGCATGGCGGGCCACAAGGGCAGGATAGATGTGTACTCTGCGTACTGCACACAGCTCATGAAGCTCCCATCCCTGAATCTTACTGGCATAGCTTTCATAATTAACTAATACCTTGAGCTACTAAAAAGCAAAGTAAATAAAATTAAATTAAAAAATAGAAAGCAAAGTAACGAATGGATGTGTCTCTACTTCAAGATTAAGTGGCTGACATTTGCCATATTTTCTTTAAGAAGTGATGCAGGAGGTCTCATGACACCACTCTCCTCTCTGGGACACAGGCCGTGTAGGCAGTGTTTGTTACATGGGCTACCTCTAGTCTTGTGGTTCTTTTGAGGATGGAGCTCAGTGCCCCACCAGGTACCCTTGCCACCTTGCTGGGTCCCAGCCCCAGTTTGCTGCCTCTTCTGATTGGAAAGGGGGGCAGGGGATGTGGCACAGGGCACCTTTGAGTATTCTCTGCTGCTACTCGAAAAAGCCGATGGTTCTAGAGGTGCAGGAGTAGGACTTGACAGCATCCATGCTGTTCGGTGGCTTGATCTCAGCTTTGTTGGTAAAGTTTCAAATATTTGGCAGAGGCAGTGGCAGCGCCTTGCACACTGGGGTATCACATAGAAGAGAGGTGCCCTGCAGATCTCTGCCTCCTGTGTCGCCACCCCCCAGGTCGGGAGGAATCGCCTCCACATGGCACTGGCTGTGTACTCTGTCCATGGCCCACGTGTGGGCTTCCCCAGCACTTACTGCTGCGTCAGGCTTCTGGGTGGCTCTGGAGCACAACAGGGCCCCTTGCCAGTTCCAGACCTGAGTCTGGGTGCGTTGGCTGTGCAGTGGGCGAGGAGCCGGTGCTGTAGAGGCCCAGAGTTGGAGCATGGGCCTGCAACAAGGTGCCAGGAGCTTTCAGTTTCCAGACAGAAGCAGCACAGCCAAGGGCCACAGGTCTGCTCCGGAGCCTGGCTGTGGAGGGAGGGAACCTGGCCCTTCTGGGGTAAAGGTGGCTCTGACCACCTGCCCCAAGCCCTATGCTCAGTATTTTTATAGAAAACTGTGGAAGTTCCTGGTTTTTGGCAAAGCTGTCCCAGAGTTGTGATTGTGATGTCACTGGGGTATGCAGAGCATAGGGAAGGTAGGGCACAGGTGCAGAGGCAGGTATGGCCTGCAGAGGCGTGCTCTGGGAGACAGTGCTCCAGTGGAGGAGATGGGCTGGATACGGGTGTGTGGCCTATGCAGGGCTGTGTGCCCACCGCTGTCCGCAGCTGTCATTCGGGCGGAGGTAGTCTCGCCTCCTGCAGCCGTGCCCAGATGCTGCAAGGGCTTTTCTTGCCGCTTTCTGTTGATGGCAAGACCCCAGCACGTACAGCAGTTCCTGGCACCCGGAGGACTGCTACTGCGGCATCATTCTGCAGGCTGGGTGCACATGCATGTGCACAAGCTTTCTGGCCTGGGAGCTGGGGTCGGGTGAGGCCAAGGTGCTGACAGGTTGCTCTGGTTAGGACCTGATCTTTGTTCTGAGACGGTACCATGTTACTGCCTCCTTCGGGGGGGAGTGTCATGTGCAGAAGGATGAGAGGACAAAGTGGACCTCGGCTGGTTCTTCCACCTCCACATAGGAGGGTGTACTGGGTGACTTGGTCACTCCCAGAGGTTCCCTCCCAGTAGCACCACTGTGGGGACTGAGCCTCGGCATGTGATTTAGAAGGGGGCATGTTCAGACCATTGTGTAGACATCAAGAGCCAGAGTGTCCAAAGGCTCAGCCAGGAGCCTGGCCTTTACAGCTGTTCTGCCTTCCGTCAGGATTTGCCCAGTGAGACCACATGCAGCCACCGAGGGCCACGCCTGGGTGTCCCTGCAGAACACGAGTCGCCTGGCCTGGCCCCTTCCCAGCCAGTGTGCAGGGACAGGTGGCTTATGGAGGATGTGGTGGCAGGCCCTTTTCCATCTCTGGGCACAGCCAGCTGGATCCTTGGCTGCCTTTCATTTCTCTTGTGGTTCTGGGCCTGGGACCAGGACCTTGCTCATCCTGGGCCAGCACTGTTCCGGTAAACACTGTCGCCACCCCTGAGACAATGATCTCATGAATTTGCCAGGCTGGCCTCCAGCTCCTCCCAAGAGGCTCAGGGCCTGAGAGTGGAGCCAGGCTTCTCCCACTGCAGCTGTGCACACCGCTAGCTCCTGTACCTTTGGGGGCACTCCAGAGTCCTGGGGATGTCCTCCCCTCCCGCCTCTGCCTGCCTTGTGGAGCCCTACACATCCAGCAATGGGACAGTGGCCTGGTGTGACCTTCCGCAGCTGAGTCCTAGAGTGCTGCTGGGCCCCTGCCTCAGAACTGACACACTTTGTCACCATCACACTTACCCAAATTAAAATAACAAAATAGTTGATGGGGAAAATAAAAAGTTTAAAATAGAAGATATCTAAAAGCATTTATTTAACATTGGAGGAAGCTGAATATAAAATGACAAAATAAAAGGTAGGTGTAAGTATGCACTTCTGAGTGGGGACCAGGCCTTCCCTGTCCTGTACCCCTGAGGCTGTGCCCATGGCCCCGACTGCCTGCTGCTCTGGTGCTGAGCTCCGGCCCGGCCTAGTGCTGTGTGTCCCTTCAGGCTTCTCATCTGCCCCAGGTCACAGGATGTTGCCCTTTGTGGCTGCTGTCTCGTATTTCTGGAAGTACCTGAAGTGCGGTCCCGGTGGGCATTTCTGTTGGAGGCTCGAGTTGCCTGCTGGCTGGGCTCCTTCGTACTTCGGAGGATGGTGCTCCTGGCGCCCCGACCCCAGCACCAGATGCAAGTCCTCAGCCTCTGAGCTTGGCGCTCCTCCTGCAGCCTGTGGGTCCCTCTCAGAGACTTCACGGTGTCCCTGGATGTGTCTCTGAGGGTGAAGGTCCCCCAGAAGACTGTCACCCCATGCCTGGAGAGAGTGAGCCCACATCGGGCAGGGCAGGGCAGGGCATTGCGGCTCAGGCGTTTGCCCAGTCCCCGCCATTCCTGCCTCACTTCATCAGAAACCCACACCTTGACCCTTTGCCCAGATGAGCCGCACTCTGGGGACTTCAGGCAGAGCTTTGGAGGTAGCTGTCTGTTCTCATGGGTGAGCATACATGTGTCTGTGGACACGCCTCCTGCCCGCCTCGACCCTGCCTGAAGTGTGGACCAGCCCCAACCCCTCAGGCCTCTGGCTCAGGACAGCTCTTTCCTCTCCTTTCCAGTCTTCCGGCTGCTGGGGGAGTGCTGTTTGCCCAGCAGCCTGCCTGTTTCCTGGCTGGCCCTGGCCCTGGCCCTGGCGTGGTGCTTGCATGTGCACACTGCACCCCAGGCACTGTCTCCACCTGGAACTGGCTGGGGGCAGCACTGCTCAGCCCTCAGAGGGGCACAGTTGCCTTAGCTTGGCAAAGCCAGACTCCTTGGCAAGGAAGAGGTTGGTGCACACAGGGCTGGGCACTTACGGAAGCTCTCTGTCGGGGTGGTTGCAGGTGGGTGTGCGTGTTTTCTCTCAGAGTTTCACTAGCTTCGGGGCTCAGTGGTCTAAAGCACCTACTTGGAACAAGCTTGGCAAAGCACAGGGACCGCGGTTCAATCCTCCAGCACCAC